GACATTTTAAATGAGAATAAGAAAGAAAAGTATGTCTTTGTGCCCCCTTTTCCCTGTTCATGCCCTATCGGCCCCCCTGGCTAAACTTTGCTAGATCCGCCCCTGCACAGTTACCAGCCATCAGCTATGTAGAAAAAGATCCTGGTGTAGAAAGTAATATTAAATAAATTCTAACAGCAGATTATCAAGCTTAATAGTGCTGCTGTTGTTCAGCCGCTGGTTTCCTCTTTCTGGTGCGAAGTGGGCGATAAACAAACAAGAGAGACGGACTCGACAGAAAAGCCGATCAGCTGATCATTGATCAGTTTCATGATTGAAGTAGCAGCAGGAGAGAGAGAGAGAGAGAGAGAGAGAGGCAGTAGCTCCATATATCGGTTGTTACGCTTAACGCTGGAATGCTTTACAAACATTCAGAGATGAACTTACACACTTGCTTTACTTCTCTCTGGGATAACTTTCTCGGAGATGAAATGCCGGTTTGGTAGCGACGCTACAAATACTCAACCAGACCAGGTCTTGCACGCTACAGCCGCTCTATCACGTGACGCACTGCTCCGACGTGCTACGGTTGGTTATGAGCCGAGTTATGCCATGTTGCAAGTTTTGTGAGGTGCTTTTTTGATATTTAATGGATCGGATTACATTTTTTATTTCTCTCCAATATCCGATCCAGTAATTTAGGTCAGTATCGGACCGATACCGATATGTAATATCGGATCGGTCCATCTCTACTTAGTACTAGGACTTTTGTACTTCACAGTAGTACTTGATTATTCATTTATTTTGTAGATATATGTGGAAAAGAGTAAAAGTCTAAGACAATTGTAAAAAGGTAAACACAGTCAATATATATGTAGAATATATAAATAAAAGCTGAACAAACAGGTGTATGTGCTTAGTAAAGGCTTGTGTGTGAGTTTTATCCACTCACGCTTTCTGTATTTGAGTGGATTTAGGTATTTTCTGCTTTTTTCTCACTGGGTAACTCTTCTTCTTCTCTTGCTACATATTTCTGTAACTCCAATGTCACTGATCTTGTTGTTTGTCTGCTTCTGCACATGCTCCGTAGGACTGCATCAGTCTGGGTTCAGGTGAGCCCAACGTGCCAGAGCACCGCTCCTTTGTGCTCTACCATAACAACAGCCCGCGATGGAGCGAGGTGATCAAACTGCCGATTCCCATCGACCGTTTCAGAGGGTCCCACCTGCGCTTCGAGTTCAGACACTGCTCCAGTGAGTGCCTTACTTGTGTTAATACTGGTGCTGTCGTGGCTAATGGGATGATCCGTGTGGAGAAAATAAATGAGGATCCAAGCACAGGCACTCCTGGAGGTGCAGAGGAGGCTTATTGTAAACATAAAACCCAGAACCGTGACTGATTAGCTGCTGCTTCAAGCAGGTGGCGACATTTTTGGAGTAATATCTAGAAAATATATCTAAATATAAAAAAAAGCATAACCAAGTTACTCTTTGACCTTCTTATATGCAGGCTGTATCACTTTGTCTACAATAGTGAAGTAATAAACTGGTTTTCTGAATACATCTCTAATAATCTGAGACATTTAACCTCGGTGCTTTTTGACCGTACACTCGGTGCGTTTCTTCTCTCACATCTTCCTTCTTTGTCATTTTCTCTGCAGCGAAGGACAAAGGAGAGAAAAAGCTGTTTGGTTTTGCCTTCACGCCTCTAATGAGAGAGGATGGAACTACTCTCTCTGATGAGAGCCACGAGCTGTATGTCTACAAGGTCAGCTACACTTTTCTGTTTCCTGGCTGCTGCTCATCAGCCTTCATCACACGTCAGTCATTTATTCTGCAAAGGAGTCTTTCTGTTGGCTGATGATTGCAGCAGAAATGACAATATTTAGTTAGTATATATGTGAATTGTACTTCAGTAATCTCACAGTATAACTATAAAGTTCACTTTAAATGTCGTGTACACTTTGTACATGATATCCACAACATCTTTACTGTTGCTCACCAAAACTGTACAGCAGGTCCAACTCCAGGCCTCGAGGGCCGGTGTCCTGCAGGTTTTAGATCTCACCCTGGGTCAACACACCTGAATCACATGATTAGTTCATTAACAGGCTTCTGGAGAACTTGGCTGTATCCCAATTCAGGGTCTGCAGCCTTAAAGTACGCAGCCTCAACTATCCTCAAGGGCCGCGTACTCAAAGGCCGCTAAGGCCGGAAGTGCGAGGCTTGTGAAATGGGACGGTCTAGCCTCCGTCGCGCTGCCCAGGTTGCCTAGCAACCATGATACTAACAGCTGGAAACGTTTCATACAGCTTTGTTTGACAGAAATGAAGGAGAAAATCTTTTGTTCA